TGGTTCTGATAATGGAATATTCAAACAATACGAACATCATTACTAGTTCTAACAGGGTGTTGGCGTGCCAGCTAAACGATAGCAGACGACGTTTTAGGCATTTTTGAACGTCGTTATTTAAATCTAGTTCTGGCTGACTTTCGGAGCTGCCACAGTAAGCAGAGAAGATAATCTAAAAACTCATCTTTATTTACAAGAAACCATTTTGGAAGAAGCTATAATTTTTCAAAAGTTACCGTGTGGCGACAACTTAAAAAACCTACATAAATTTGAACATAACAATTAAAAACATCTTACGATCTTGAACGTTTGCTATTCCGCTAGAAGAAGCAAAATAAACAGAAGTTAAGTACATTTTCGAGCCATTCTCTGTGGTTATGATTTTAGTAAAATTTATTTTTAACACTTATTTTTTATAAGAAAATTTATCTCGCCACTAGGAGGCGGTAAGGTTAAGGAACATGTAAAAAAAAACAAACTCTAAACTAGCAATTATTGGCGTATACAAACGTGCCGCTACATTTATTTAGTGCTTACTGAAATTATCCAAACAAATTACTTAAGATCAATTAGCTATTAAGAATGGCTATAGTAGAGAAACTGAGGAACGTAACCATAATCAGATATAGTTGTTTCAAGACAAAGGTATTAGGCTTATCTTATGACTGATTATAATCAAGATTCGTCAGCAAAAGGCATTCATACCATAACATTTTTTATTCTAAAAAATCGCTTATATAAATAGCGTGTTGTCTGTTCTAGCGGGTCTGGTGAGCTCTGGTATTGAGCAAAACGCGTCGTCGGCAAAGAATATGGCGGACATCAAATGGTTGAAATACACCCTCTTTTTTTTTGAAAAACCCTAAAGAGACGAATAAAGAATGTAGTGTTAGAAAATACAATAAGTCATATACTGTTGTATTACGATAAATATGATTGATTATACTCGTTACAATCAAGCTTTCCAAGCTTGTCATACACACAACAACGATTATTGAACTGAATATCAATCACCATGAAGAACTCTGGCTAAAGAGCAAAAAAACGTGTTTAATATAACTTTGTGTAAATGTCAAAAAACTGTATACATTTCGTCCTTATTAATTGGTCGGATATATGCACGAGGAGAAAAATAAATATATGTTTTAATTTTCTCAGCAAGTTCCTATGTAGACTTTAAACTTAACTGTATAAATTAACCAACCTCAGTTTACAAACAAATATTTAGTACTTTACAAGTCATATAGGATACATGTCCGAATCAGACCCTTAGGTTCATGTCACTAATTTTAACTTGTTTGTAGTTCAGCACAAATCTACAGAATGAGCTATCTGTGCTGTGCCCACCACGGGTATCGAAACCCGGTTTTTAGTGTTATAAGCCTTCAGACGTACTGCTGTGCCACTAGGGGGCCACTAATTTTGAATTACTGACTGGGGTAAGATGTCTAGTTAGCAGAAGCTACTGCCAGAAGAGCTTCGACCAGCTTTTAAACACATATGGAGATTGACTGTCACGCTTATAACGCACTTACTGCTGAGTGTTCGGAACATGTCCTGCAGCACCCAATCTGGCAGATTAATCGTCATCACAAGCTCGGCCCGGTTCAAAAGAAGTTAATACCAATAATTTCCACACAAAAAAACTGTTTTTACTTTTAAATTTGGTTAGTCATTCAAACGCTTACAACAAGTACACGTGATTAGGTTTGACGGAAGCATTATATGTTTACAGACGTTAGGAATAGAGGTCAAGAGCGTGCACTCTTTGTAGGCCTTATACATTCAGACGTTTGTAATTCAGTGAAAAAGACCTTTCAATGTTCCTTTGCTTAGTCTTCCTTACTAAATGCGTCCTCCGCTTGGTCAGCGGTAAACCTACAAACTTACAACACTGTGAGACTTTCCACTAAAAAAACAACAGCTACTTACAAGATGCGGTAACTCTTAGATCTCTGCTGATTGTTACTGGTAAATTCAAGGTTCGAGTCTGCGATATTCCGCTGAAGAAACGCAATATTTTCAGCAGTGGCAGTTAATCCAGCTATTCGATTAAAGGTAGTCGTGCCGGCGGCAGGTGCTATTGAATGGCTTCCTTCCTTCTGATCAGTAGTTCTAGATTAGGGATAACTATTACTCAACCTTAAAGGTCAATGACATGGCCGTCTAGCCGATATATCGCATAATGTGTCTGTTTTAAAACACAAAATCGTATTCAGTATGCGATGTAGAGCAATGTTTCATCATTCGAACCAGTTAGAACTAGTAATGATGTTCGTATTGTTTGAATATTCCATTACCAGAACCATTAGATTTTTTAATGTATGGCATTTAAAAATTGGCACCCTTTCATACTTCGCAATAGCTGTATGTAGAGGTAGTGGACTCTAGTGGCTGTTATTTACTTTAATTAAATTTTCTGAAAATATTCCACTTTCATCTAATAAAATGATTATATGTGCCAGTGAAAATCTTGGAGAAAGAACTTTATCACCTTTGAAATATGAAAAGTGCATTAAACAGGCATTCAGATCTTAAACACTCAAATGAAATAAGTTCTAAACAAAGACTTGCATGTTATTCGTCTACCAATAAGCTGAAAAAAAAATGTCCCCCAGTGGCACAGCGGTATGTCTGCGGATTTACAACACTAGAAACCGGGTTTCGATACCCGTGATGGGCAGAGCACAGATAGCCCATTGTGTAGCTTTGTGCATAAATTCAAACAAACAAGCTGAAAAAAAAACACATTTTAAAATCAGCTAAGTCTATCTTCAATCTATATAGGTCCGGCATGGCCAGGTAGTTTTGGCGCTCGACTCGCAATCTGTGGGTCGCGGGTTCGAATTTCCGTCACACCAAACATGCTCGCCCTTTCAGCCGCGGGGGCGTTATAATGTGACGGTCAATCCCACTGTTTGTTGGTAAAAGAGTAGCCCAAGAGTTGGCGGTGAGTGGTGATGACTAGCTACCTTCCCTCTAGTCTTACACTGCTAAATTAGGGAAGGCTAGCGCAGATAGTCCTCGTGTAGCTTTGCGCGAAATTAAAAAACAAACAAACAAACAATCTATATAAGAAGTGTTTTGCTTTCGTGGCTGACAAAAAAAAACAACAACAACTGAAACACACGAATAGAAAAAAAATTCTGTGCTGTTTATTTGGTTCATATTATCTCAGTTGTGTTAAACATGGAGAGTTTTTTGGTTTTTAATAATGAGGTAAATAAACCTGACGTGGTTTATTCTCCACTGGTAGCTATAGAATTTCTCTCTTAAACACAGAAATGTCCCAGTTTTGTCAGTGTGATAGTTAACTAACAAATAATCAACATGGGCGAAAAAACACCAGATAACGAAACCGCAATCTTCATATCGAAAGTCACTTTCTGCCATTTCAAAAAAGCTCTTCTGTGGATCATATACAGAAGATAACGAAACC